TATTGTGGAATTCTAATGTTCAGGAGCAGAGCCAGCTTGGGGTAGTGGTGAAGGCATCGGGCTAGCAACCAAGAGACTCTGAATTCTGGACTCGCCTTGGGCACAGAAGCCAGCTGGGTGACCTTGGCCCAGTCCGTCTGCCTCAGCTCTAGGAAGGAGGCAAGGGCAAATCACTTCTGAAAATCTTGCCAAGAAAACTGCAGAGACTAGTCCAGGCAGTCACCACGAGACAAGACTGACTCGAAGGCACAAATAAAGTATTACATCGCATCAGTGTGATGACTGTCTCATTCACAGAACAGGATGACACACGTTCAAACTCATCTGGTTTCCTGGTGGTGAGCCTCAACTATTTCACCCCTGGTGGGGGACAAAATTTGATCAAAGAGAAATATGGAAATGGCCTCTACTTGAGCAAGTGGGTCCGCTAGAATGAGCAGTAGATAATGACCATTGGTAGTAGCAATCTCTCTCCCAAACCACTTCCGGGGGGGTGAGGGGGAAACCTTGCCAAGGAAACTACAGGGACTTGTCCAGGTAGTCACCAGGAGTCAAGACTGACTCAAAGGCACACACACAAAGGGGGGGGGGGGCTGTCCATTTCATAAAGGACACACATACCCCCTCCCAACAACAACCATCCCTGACCAGATACCTGACTGGAAAATGTCCCCAAAACACTAGATAGACAGTGTAATTTAGTTCAAACGTATTAACTGGAAATGGCTTGTAGTGTGTTGAAAAAGCAACTGAAGAAGCCTTCATCCTTCAGTGGCTGATAATGAAATTCTCCCTCTCTCTCTTTCAACTGTCTATCTGAAGGAGTAATATTCATTTTAACAACATCTGTTCTTCCCCTTAAATGCAGGGAATTTTTCATCTATTTATATCAACATTAAGCAGTTAAGCAGTATGAAATATGTAAACAAACAAAAAATGGTATTTTGCTGAGAAGAATTACTCCAAGACATTTAAGAGAGTTCACATAATATGCAAAGTTCCACATATTCCCATAAATCTTTAATCATTTCCCCATTTCTTTGCATTAAGATTACAATTGGGAAATCAGTTTTGCAGAGGCACAACCAAGGGTTTGAGGGAGCTGTCTGTGGCCTTGGGGCCTCAGGTTGTGCACCCCAATTGATAAGGATGAGAATCCGTCCGATCCCCTTACCTTGCAGCATAGCTGAAGTTGTGTAGAAGTTAAAGGGAACAGCTTGGACTATAAAATCATCCATGTTCAGGGTATCCAGCTTATCCACCATCAGCACTGACTTTCCAGTGCCTGCATTCCCAACTAGCATCACTGGCCATTTTTTCTCCATTAGCAAGTCCATGAAGTAACGAATCCGGATGGTTTCTGTTGTGTGGACCATTGAAGCCTGTAAAACATACCCCCATATGAAAATTATAGCAATTAAAAAAAACACCTGAATTGCAATTTTAAAAGAAACTAAATAAATAGTGAAATGGTTTCTAAGAAAAGAAGCATCAGTGGCTAGAGATATCTCCCCTTGAAGATAAATGCACATGCAGGCTTGGCAAAGCCCAGCTGTGTTTTAATGACATTGTAAGCAAAACATTATGTATCTCTGCCTCCTTCTTTCTGCCCTTCTTTCAGGGCTGATTTTTTTTTTTTTTAAATCAGAGGATAACTGCTCTACCAGCAGGTATAGATGATAAGGTTGCAATTGTGGTTGCAGGCTGGAGTGGAATAGTAACAACACCCTTCTAACCCTGAAAGCACCAGAAGACAAACCCGCTCCTGAGTGCCAGCCCTTACATCAACCATGTATAAAAGGAAGGAATCAGGAAGTTTGGGGAAGTTCCAAAGTTAGCAGAAATGCAACAATGTGCCTTTAAAGAGGGAAAATCCACAAGTAGCTCAATAACTGTGCATGTGCCATAACCACGGAATGATGACGTTGGCAAGGATGGTGGGATTTGGGTATCCTGGAACAGGGCATGGCTGAAACACTGAACATGCCCCCGCCCCCATTATTCTTCTATAAATACATGGCTTACCCACAGGAAGATGCCAACATCCACTAGGACAGCTAAAGTATCTCTGCGAGATATCTTATTTTAAATTTCATGGCTAGTTTACCATGACAGATAAATGTTTACTTTAAATTTACTTTACCTGACACATGCAGTCCGTATTGTTTGGTCATTTTTGAAAACCATTTTTGCTGTAATAGTAATAGTGGTTGTTGTTGTGAAGGATAATGAATATCTTTAGATATAGGCAGCAGGAAGATATATTTGCAGCAGGACAAGAATCTAGTATCTCAAATTACCCAGTGGAATATCAATCAAAGATCCATGTTTCTCCTGATCTTGTCTGGGATACTAACTAGATTCAGAATCTTTTGCTAGCATCTGACTGATCTTTTAGACAAAGTACAAATAAAACAAATAAGACCAGAAGTAAAATTATTTCCAGCAAATTACCTGCAATGGGACATCTGAATCCAATTCAAATTGTGGCACTTTATCAGTCCATGGCATGAATTTCTTTGACTCTGGGTCAATATAATAGTCAAAAATTGTTCCCTGAGATGGGAATTTGATTGTTTTAAATTCATTCACCCACCATTTGCTAAATTCCACCCGATAATCCACAAGCTGCAGAGAAAGTTATGCATATTTATTATGGTTTTAACATTTTGATTTAAATTAGAATATGTTCTGAAAATATGACTTGACCAGAGGGAATGCAATAAAACATCACAACAAAATTTATCAAAGCTAAATGAGTTTAAAAAATTAAATACAGACATGTATTATTTATCTGAGAGAATGATCTGAATCAACCGCTGTGACAGCAAGGTTAATTTCACAAATCCCATTCATCTCAATGGGGGTCCAAATGACCGCTAAAGTAATGTATGACCTTTCTTTCTACAAAGGTGGACCAGACCACATGCTAATATTTATGCTACTGCCATCGATCCTAAAGGACACGTGGCCTTGGCATAGAACCCCGGCAAACCATATGAGATACAAATAAAATGTTAAATCCTAGTCAGATGGAAGTGATTTTTGGTATTAATCCTGTCAGTGTAGAAACCTTTACTTTGAAAAGGTCCATAGAAAAATGGACTCCATGTAGAGAATGTTGCTTATGGCATCATTAGTCTATACCAGTGTTTTTCAACCTTGGCAGCTTTAAGATGTGTGGACTTCAACTCCCAGAATTGGCTGGGAGTTCTGGGAGTTGAAGTAGACACACCTTAAAGCTGCCAAGGCTGAGAAACTCTGGTCTATATCAAGGTAACTCTTGAGTTATATGAATGGAAAACCTGACCACTCCCATTTCTGAAAGTACCTGATCTTGGAACATCGCTCCTCCAAATGCCCAGAAGCAAGCAAACACAAAATAGAGTTCGTATAGCTCTTTGGAAGAATCTGGAGGTGTATTGGTGGGGGTCAAGAGACATTCCAGTAAATAGAGAATCATCTGCACTACTGTCACTTCAGGAACAGGGGTTATCTTCTTGAACCCAAACTTCAGTTTGTCCAAGCAGGTAGGCAAATATTTATCAAACAAGATCATCAGGTTAGCTTTTTCGGATTGCACTTCTCGGCGCTCAATCCAACTGCTCACTATTCTGTGTGGTGATATAAAATCACTTATTGGATACGCAGTACAGTCTCATGATTGTAACATGTACGTACTGTACATTCTACTTCAAATGATATTCCTTATTCCTCTCCTCTTGCCCCTGCTTACACTACATCTTTATAGGAATGCCACTTAAATTACAGGGTAGATATTTAACATTTAGCTCTTAAGAAAGTCATCACATACTGCTCAATAAATTCCATTAGCGTATGAGCAATGCATTTTGGTAAATGACTGACTGTCAAGCTAATAATTTTTGTATAAACCACATTACTCACAACTTTTGGTAAAATAAAGCATCAGGAGTTCCTTATTTTGGAGAATAAGTTAACAAGTTTGAAAGGAAAAGGAGAAGCAATGAACTAATAAGAGCCAATAATGCTAGCCCAAATCCCTGTTAATTAAGTAATTTAGTGGTCTTGGGTACTTATAGTCTTTCATAATAATTTCCCTATATACAAAGTAGGATTGTGGAATGATTGCTACCAAGAGAAGCTCTTCGCACAAAGAAACATGAGAAAACAAAAATTGCTGAATAAGTTCAGTTTAAACTTCTTCAATTCCATTCTTCACTTTAGTTAACATATCTTTACCAAGATGACTGTATATTGCATTGAAAATGAATGTACTGTCTAGATATGCAACTGCCAATACTTAACAAGGAGAACAGTGTTTTTCTTTATGTCCTGAAAAAACTTGCTTTTCTTGGTAGTGTGACATACTGGGCATTTCCAAATGATCCAGCCTTTTGGTTCCCCAATTTTTCTGATTCCATAATTAACATGCATAAGGAATAAACTGGTTGTTCAAGCTATTTCTAGATTTGTAAGGATACAGGATAGGAAATAAAGAGGCATTTTTATGTTTTTGTAAGTATACAATATTCTCAGAGAACTGATAACCAATGAACAGCTAAGAGTTGACCAATCAGTGTTTGTTTGCCTACCAATAGTGAGTGCCTCATTCCACCTTCTCAATTTTACACTAAAACCCAAATTCATTTCTTCCCCCTCTGCAAAACAAAAGGAGAGAGATAGATCACACCATTGGGATTGTTGTGCTCATCATGGAGGAAGACCTTGCCTTTCAGAAGTTACTTATGCTGTCATGACAGCTTTACTATCTTTGGGGGCCGTTTACCCAATCATAATGTTCAGGCACCACAGAAGGACTCCAGGAGCTAGGAAACAGGGCAAGGCAAAATTTTATTTAATGACTGCACTGAGTGTCTTGTACAACACTCACTGTCTGAAAAAGGTTTTTTTGGACAGCAAGTAACTTGTTATTGGGACTAGAATAATCTGGGATATTGCAATGATAGATCCCTGACAACAGCTTCATGTGACCAGTGAGGACTCAGTTTGATCTATGTTGGAATCTACATCTTTCATCTAAAAAGGGATGTACTGATATACTTCAAAGGGAACCAGAACTCACGGATTCCAGCCCAGGTCAGCAGGATTGATATACAAGATTCCTGCTCGAGACACTGTGGCAGGTGTTGCTGTTCTTAGGTGGCTGATCTCAAATACAAGCCTCATGGTGGGGTTTAGTGGGATTCGCTCATTGCTGGCTAAGGTGAGCACCTAGGAAGGAGAAAAACACACAATGCAACTTCCTAATTTCACAAAAATGGATGTTAATGATTGATCCCCTAGCTTACTGTGCTGACCTTGTTGTCATCCATCACAGTATTCAAAGATTCAATCCACATGGGATCAATATCTCCATCCAGAACAATCCATTTTGGTCCACGATGAGTTATGTTAGCTAGATCTCGCATTATTGTTGAAAACAAGCCTGCCCAGAACAGACAGATTCACAGTGAATTTTATAACATGCATATACAGTATGCTCAGGTTGCACTAAAACTTTAGCAGAGAGAAGGCACAGAGCTGATGAAAACAGATATATATCAACACACACTGACAAGTATAAATTTATTAAACTATTTGTGATTATCTTCTCACTTAGGTAAATCCCAAGGCTATATACAGCTGTAATGTGGAGCAATGCTGTGAGCTAAACATCCAGAAAACAGAATAAAACACTAGTTGATCCTTGGGAAAGCCAACATGAACAGTTTTCAAAGAGCACCTGAAACATGGCCCCATTTTGGTCTCACAGATGGTGAACAAGACAGATGCCACTGTAGAAAAGGTTCAGTAGCGTGTTGTCAGCAGAACTCCAAATCACCAACAGTATCTGCCCTAAAGATCATAAGTGCCTAAATTGCTGACATTCGTGGAGATATTCTGTAAAGTAACCAAGTTCTTCAGGACTTTGTATACTAACATAGCTTGATACGAGACTGGTAATCAGCATTAAGTGTAAAATGTAAAGCAAGGCACTCCAGATAGTAAGTGCGTTGCTAAAGTCTACACAGGCTGGTGCTTTAGACCCATATAGAGTACTGAGGGAGCTATTACCTAGCCACTTTCTGGTTCTACATGGGGCAGCCCCACATAGAGAGAATTAGCTGCAGATACACTAAGATGTTCATATTTGCAATTGGAACGTGCGAGTAAGGGAGAAAAGGCTCCAGCTGGATGGACCAAAGTTATTTGTAAACATTTACCTAGAACAAGATCAAACCTTCTTAAGATACCTACAAACAAGGTGCTGTGCCATTCCAGATCAGCTCTGCACTCTCATGATCCCATATATTTATCCCTGTTTGGCAGCTGAGCCCATTTATTTTCTGGCACAACTGTGGTGCAAGGAAAAATATTGCAAATTTGTTTTTCCAGATGAATTAATAGATCTCTGCAGAGCTGTGGCTGGGCAATTTTCTCAGTTGTGGAAATCCCTGTTTCCTAACTTCTAAGCTCACCCCACTTGACGCAGAGATCATCAAGCCAATGACCTTTGGTGTCACCATTCACCATTCTTTTAAATTGTGAGCTGAGGAAGGAGGCAGCGCCAGCTTCCTCCCATTTAAGTAACTACAGTGCCTCTTACAAGCACCAAACAAGCAAGGATAGGTGCTGGTCTCAAGGATAGGTCTGGTTGGATGCCAGATTTTGTGCTCTCCTGTTGGTGGGTTGGTGTCACAGTGTGACTGGGCTCTTTTAGAACTGGATGTGCAATCAGGAGTACAAAGATGGCAACTGACACAGAGAAACCAAGACCATGGAGGGTTTTATGCTTTTTTACTACAACAAAACTACTTACATTAGGTATTCACAACAAGATCCTGGCTTCTTCCCAGTGTCGGGTTTCTTCTTAAGTCTCTCTCCCAGAGACTATTCCCTTCTAACTGTCCTCCTAAATGCTTAATTTCCTCCCCTTTCTCCCTTTCTCCCTCCCTTTTCTGAGATTATCAAGAGGGAGTAAAAGGAAGGAATGTGCTGCATTTGCAAATGAGTGTGCTCAGTGCCGCTCATCTCCTTTCTTTTGATCTGCTCAGCTGATCATTGTCTGTGACTCCTCCATTGGGGAACAAACCTCTCTTGGGAGTCTTCTGCCAAATCCTTCCCCAGAGACTAGGGCTTTGCCAAAGACTCCAACCCTTTGTCCACAGCCAGCTGTCTCTCTTCTTCTTGTCCTGGGCCTTGGGTGAAGATGCCGTCCCTCTAGGACTTAGCTCCTTTTCCTCTAGGGAAGCCACTTGTTGACATTTCTTCTCCCTCTCTGACCCAGAACCAAAAACTGCTTCACACACTCACATTAACTTTTCTTCCCTTTGCAGCCATTATCTTCTACAACAGTCTTTGGAGTTGTCATTTTCTCTCCTCCCCCACCCCAATTTTCTCTCCTCTTCTTCTCCCTCTCTCCAATTTTGGGCTAGACCAGCAGCATGTCCCACAGCAACTGAGGAGGTGGGTGCCCCCCTAGGGCTCTAGTCCCCAACACCTATATACCAGGCTGGACCAGTGGGAATGCTGTCCACCTCTGCCCCACAGCAGTATTGGCTAGCAACCAGTTCAGCCCATCAGCCTGTGTAACAGTATACCTGCACTTCAAGGCCAGAAATGAGCTTCCTCTCCCCTATTTCTCCCTCCGTTTGCTAACTCATGCCAGCACAACAGCACCCATACCAGGCCACTAAAAAACATGTGCCACAGTTGTTGGCTCATATGGTGTTTTCAAAATGATGAAGGTGGTTCCAGTGGGGTTGGTTTCAAATAATTTCAGAAGTGTTTCAGAGGATTTGAGGAGTAAAAATGGTGGAAACAGTATGGGAGGACCCTTTCTTTGAACCATTAAAGTAAACCTAATGAGAGTTGGCAACTACCATATAGATGCATTTGGTATTTTCCTATGGTTATAAGCTTTTTATGTCAACCATTAAAGGGATCTGTGATCAGGTATACCTTGGATAAAAAATAAATCCTTGTTTTTTGTCTTGCTGAAGTTGGCTCAAATAGCTGAAGTGGGGAAGGGTTCATATACAGTATAACAAAGTTTTTTTAGAGAGTGATAGTATTAAAATTTTAAACAGCAGAAATGTGTAATAAGTTCATAACCGCAGTATGTAATTTTCCCAACTAAAATACCTCTAAGTTTCTAAAACAAGCCACAATTCTAAGTGAAGATAAGTGAGTTTTAAAAACTATTATTTTCAGTGGGAATCTAATTTTGTAAAAAAAATAAACATAGTGCCAATGCAGTAGTATTACATGGAAGAAATTTAAATTAAATGTCATTATTCTAGGAAACAAAGGCACGATCCTTCTATATGCATATTAATGTATATATTTGCTATTTTGTACTATTTTCTCAACTTTTATATAATATCCTTTTTTGTGGCACAACATCAGAAGGAAAAATTTCCTTTTATTTTAAATGTTTTTCAACTACATTCTCCAGAAAGCAGCTGCATTGTTTCTTACCATCTTTCCATTCTCTCGTTGCTGGATTAATTATTCCAAATAGTTCATCACAAGTTACAGCTTTAGGATCAAGGTCAACAGCTACAGGCTTTCTTTTCATGAGCTGGTAAGTTTTATTCAGAGATTTCAGTACCTGCCAGAAGAAAAGGTTTGAGTGCTTTGTTCATCATATTCACTATTATATCCATTTCTAATCTGGTGTCCTCCAGATATATTGGACTTTAATTTTAATCATCTCCCAGCCAGCATAAGCAAAAGACACAGCAACTATATACTTTTAGAAAGCTCCATCATTGCAGCCTCCAAAGATATTGATTGATTGATTTGATTTGATTTGATTTGATTTATATAGTTGTCCAATTCAGAGGAATGACTCTGGGTGACTTACAATTTGAAAAAATGTAAAAACTAGGAGTTAAAAATATTATAATGTAATATATAATATACTTTCAGAATATAAAAAACAACAGGATAACAAAATAAGAGAAATAACAATATTGTAATCAGAGAAGCAGCTGAGGCCAGCCAGCACATGTCTTGTTCAAAGGCCTTACATTATATATGAGCTCATCCTGTGGTCTGGTCAATGCTTGGGGGAAAAGCCAGGTTTTTAAGGCCTTGTGGAAGGATAGGAGGGTTTGGGCCATCTAAGCCACAGGATAATGATATCTCATAGGACAGGTGTTCCAACAGAGAAGGCATGACCCCTGGTTCCCACTAAGTGAGATTGTTTTGTGAAAGGCACCTGAAGCATGCCCACTCTGCCAGATCTCACAGGTTGAGCAGATACAACCAGATACAGGCAGTCTCATGAGTAAACCAGCCCTGTGCCATTAACAGCTTTATAAGTGATAACCAACACGTTAAATTGCTCCCAGGAAAAAGCAGTGGGGTTACATGGGTGCACTAAGGTGAATTCATAATCACTTCCTCCATTGCATCTGGATCAAGCACAGCTTCCAGGTGGCTTTCAAGGGAAGCCCCATGTAGAGTACATTGCAGTAGTTTAGGGCAGGAGGTGACTAGAGTACTAGTGACTGTGAGTAGGGCATTCCAATCCAGGATTGGGCAGAACTGGCACAACAGATGGTTTTGTGCAAAGGCCCTCCTGGCATGGCTGCCACCTGCTCTTCCAGCAGAAGCCTAGAGTTCTAGAGGATGCCCAAATGTGCACCAGTTCTGTCTGAGAAGTGTAACCTCAACCAGGACCAAAGGTGAAGAGTCCACAGAGTTGGGGGGCTCCCAAACCCTCTTGCTAGGGTTTAGTGAAAGCCTGTTGTTCCTTATCCAGATGCCCACAGCCCCCAGACACTGGGGTAAAAACCCCCATGGCATCAGTTGATTGGTCTAGGGTGTCCACCTAACCAAAGCCATGATCATGATCATGGACATGGGACTGATGCTCAGAAAAGCAACACAGGTGACTCTAGCTGTAATGTGTTCTTTTGGGAAACCAAACAGGATTCAGGGAGATAAAGGTAGAGCTAGGAAATGCTGTTTACAGCCCCTCCTCCCCCAGCAAATGAGATAATTGGAATCTCCAGTATGTCAGGTAGCTAACCACTTGTCTGGGCTTCCTCTACAGAGCAGTGCATTCAGGCCCTTGACCTTGGGCATAAGACCTGTCAGCCATAAATATTTTGGGAGGCACCTTCTGAAGGCTGCCAAGTTCTGTGAAACCGACTTCAAGCAAAACATTTCCATTTTCTGTTGGCCCCTGGTAACAACACCAAATGCTCACAGTTGAGTCCTTGACTAAAGAGCCCCAAGTGCTGGTGCAGAGGTCCCACCTGTGACTTGCCACAGCCAGCATTTCCAATCACAAACACTGAATGTCGGACTTGCAGTAACTCCTCCAGCTGTACAACCTTCAGCACAAAACTCTCCTCGGGTTGCAGACGGAGCTCAACAATAGATTGTTTGATAATCTGGGGACAAGAGATGTATGAAAACGAATCACAGACAGATTCGTTTATTTCCAGATTGGGTCAGTTTTGCATGTTTTTATTCATCAATAATAATTCATATTATTAATCTACTGTATTCCAGGCTGTTTCTATTAATCTGCATGATTAGTCCACATAAGTGATTAAACTCATTATGATCGCTTTATAATCGCTTTTAATATATATATGAAGACGAGCTGCTGAGAGTATGCCTGAGGCAGCAGTAGACATGGGAGGAAGTTCAAGCACAGGTAGTGCCATGGCAAGACAAGACCCTGCATGGGATGTACCATCGACAGATAGCTGTGGCTGACATTGGGAAATCCTACCAGTGGCTGGAAAG